TGGACCCCCGCGCTTGTCCTCCCCCCTCTTCTTGGGGCCCCTCCACACCACAGCGTCGTCTGGCCGCTCCAGCAGGAAGCCCACAGACATGAGGGCGATGCTCTGCTCCTGGTCCAGGAACACGGGCACCCAGCCGCTGTCACACTGGTGCACGGGCCTGCCCTGCGCCCGCAGCATGTGGGGGATGCTGGGCCCACACAGGTCCACGTCGAGGATTCCCACCTGCCAGCACCAAGATGCCCAAGGGGAGGGTCCATGAAGCCACAGGAACCCACGGCCTACGGTCCGGGGCGAGGCAGACACATCCCGTGCACCTGGGCAGTGGGCGTAGGCAGGGCCAGCCGCAGGGGCGGAGGGGCGGCCTCACCTTCTTGCCCGCGTGGCGCAGGGCCAGAGCCAGCTCGGTGCAGAGGGTGCTCTTCCCAACGCCTCCCTTCCCCGAGAGGACGAGGAGGATGTGCTGGACGCCGGCCAGGTTTCCAGGTCCTGGTGGGAGCCGGGGAGGTCAGCCGCCCGAGCCGACATGCACTCACCACCCCGTTCAGGACCACCCCTCCCATAGTCCCGCTCTCACGGCAGTGGCTAAAGGCCAGGTGTGGCCACGATCCCCGGGCCAGCTCTGACATGGGGCTGGTGAAGCAGAAAGCCCACACTGCTCCCGGGCCTGCCGCGTGTCCACGTGGGCCTGACTGTGTCCCAGGGCTTGCACACATGGGTGACATGTACCCCGACTCACAGGGTGCCCTCACCCTTACACTCACGTGCAGTGCACCTGCCACTGCCCCAGGGTTGGGGGAAGCAGGCTGTGGCCAGGCCTGGTGTGTCTGGGCTGCCCCGGGCCACTTTCACCCAGGCCAGGCACGCCCAAAGAGAGCCGAGTGAGGCTGTCCCCATTTCATGCTGGGCAAATAAGAGCGGACCCCCCTGGCCATCCAGGTCCTGGCCAGGGGGGCTGGCAGGGCACACGAGGCACGTCTGCACGCCCCTGGACTCTGAGGGGAGGGAGGGAGGTGACGTGTGACCAGGCCCGCTGCCCAGTGCCTCTGACGCATGCCTACAGGCGGTGCGGCGTGGGCGCTCTCTGGAGGCAGGCAGCCAGGCAGAAGGCGAGGAGTCCTCTCCTGGAGACGAGCTCAGGGCCCCCTCCTCCATCCTCTCAGGGTCTCCACATGTGCCCGGAGTGCATTTTAACCTGCTGGGTCTGGGCTGAACAGTGCAGTAGGCCATGTGGGACCCAGCCACCCTGACCACTGTGCCACCAGCCGATCATCTTTCAAAAACGACCTATTTAAAAAACCATGGGGCCGGACCAGCAGATTGCATAATCATTATGTCTCTGGACTCTCAAGTAGTCAACTGTGGTTTGAATCCCAGACCCCGTGGCTTCAAACTCACACTTGTGTGTGTATGCTCAAAAACCTCGAAAAGGGAGGAGAAACAGGTGACCACTCCCTTACTTTCACACCTCCAGTGTACGAGCCCTCAGGCAAATCTGGCAGGAAAAAAGAAGCTGTTACTGAAGTCCATTCAGCATGGAAAGGCACTGGGCTGCAGGGGAGGCCCCGCTGGGCCAGCTTCTGGCCCTCACGCCTGCCGGGCAGCGCAGCCAGGCTGAATCCCGACCTCCTCGCTGGTAGAAGAGGCTCGTTCCAGTGGCCTGGGAACATGCAGGGCCCCAGTGCTGTCAGCAGGTACTTCCCAGAGGGCCATCCCGCTCAGCCCCCAAACCAACCAAGGAAGTCTGCCCACCCGCATTCGCCCAGGGCCTTCTGCACACGAGTGGAGAAGCTGGAAGGGCAGAGCAGAACCCCCACGGGGGAATCCGGGGCGTCCTCACATCGCACCAGGCCTCTATGGTAAAGGAGCTACAGCCCTGCGCGTGCATACTGCCTGTGCGCTGGGGCTGTCGCGGGCACAGGGAGGTCATCAGGCCTTCTGAACTCTGACTGCATTTTCTACCGCACTTTAAAAAGGAAATCTTCCATCAACTTCAACGCCATTCTCCTCGCCTCAGCAGATCTGCCCTTATCGGGAGAACCAGTACCCATGTCACCTCTGATTCGGATCCAAGCTGCGATCTGTAACCTAGACCGCCGATCAGGGGCACTGACCCTGACGCCAGCCCGAGGGCTGTCCCACACCGGCAGGCGCCGCTCACAGGTCGGTCTGCGACCTCGCTACACCGCAGGACTTCCACTTTGCTAAGGCTGCACAGCTAGAGCGGCTGCCGGGTGACCGGGGCGGCGGGGTGCCCCCAGAGGGGAATGGAGAGGGGACTGCGGGTGGCCATCCCCCCTGGAGTGCTTTCTCTCTCGCCCCCAACCGTGTCCAGCCAGCGTGCGCTAGTAAAGTTATAAATATAAAAGAGGCTAGAACCGAGAACACGTGATGATATGAGTGTCACGTCCTGCTCAAAACTCGAATCCGATCAAACACCCGCAGCGAAGACCTCGGTGCAATCCCGGCGTCTCCGCCTGTTCTTAGGGACGCCCAACGCCAGCGACCACACGGGGGCCTGCGCCGGAACGTCACGCCGCGCGCACGCATGCGCTCTCGGCGCACAGACGGCACACGCCCGGCTCGCCTGACGCCGCCTTGGCCAGAGGACGCACCCTGCAGCCCTGCGGGGGCGCCCAGGGCCAGGCAGGCCACGGCGCGCCCGCGTGAGGAGGACGCCGCGTCCACCGCACACTCGGCCTGGGCCCCGGGCCCCAGAGCAGCCTCCGCCTCACACCTGGTGCTGGTCACCTCTGTGGGCTAAGTGTGAGGCCCTGACGCCACATGTGGGAACCTCAGGTGACGCTTTCGTAGACTCCCTGTAGACTCCCCATCCTATTTCTAATTACCTACCATTCACACGTGACTCAGTCCCGCATGCTTCACTAACGAAAGGAACAAAGATGTCAGACATATCTGTAATACTGATGGAAAGATGTGTGACTTCTTTTTCTTTTTGAACGTAGAGCACATGCTTTTACCAAAGAGCAACAGAGAGAGAGAAAGTGAGAAGTCACCCCCCTCCCCCCTCGGGGGGATGGCCACGCCACTATCTCGTCTTCCCCACTGTCCTCTCAGGATCTGGGGCAAGAACGCAGCAAGAACGCACACGCGCCCAGTGTGATTTTCAAGCCACCAGGTCCAGGACTCGAACCACAGGAGGCCATGTGGATGTCCAGCACCTTAATCACCATGCCTCCTGCTGGCCCCAGAGATGTGCATTTGAAGTTTGCTCTGTGAATCCAGAAACAGCACAAAGTCTAAGTGTGGGCGGTTTAACTCTGACTTCCTAACATGGCAGTGAACGTGTTTCTCCAAAGGGATGAACTGTGACTCCCAGGTTAAGATCCTGTATGTACAGAGCAGTCTACCTGGCCCACGGTCCCTTGTGTGTTTCTAGGTGGCGCTGAGAACGTCCGCCGGCCTGCACCTGCGCTCGCCGCCCACCTGCCTCTCCAGCGGCCCCTGCCCTGGCCGGGGGACAGTCCGGGCGGGCCACTCCGCGGTGAGTCGGGTCTGGAAGGTGGGAGCCCTGGAGGAGACAGCCCTGGGTGAGCAGGGAGGCCAGGCAGGAGAGCTGGCCACAGACCGGGCAGCGTGCTGCGGGCGGCGGCGAACCAGCCTTTTGCCGGGACAACGGCGGGCCCTGAGCAGACGTCAGGGTTGGTGTTTCAGAAGAGACTGCTCGGCCCAAAGAGCGAAGGGAGGAGCCCAGGCGTGTGGTCCTGGGAGTGCTGGGGGGTGGACTCAGGTGTGCTGGGTCCCAGGCGGGCAGGCCTGGGCCGTCAGGAACGATGACTGTCCCGTGTCTGGCATGAGGAACTGGGAGGCTGAGGATGCCATTTGTCAAATTGGACGAGGGAGGAGGAGCAGGTGGAGGTTGAGATGCCAGAGGGACAGGCAGGCAGGGCAGCCAGGTTTGTTGCGCGAGGTGGGCCCAGAGCCGCATCACAGCCAGTGTCATGGGTGTCTGGGCGGCTTTGCTTGGTGTCTGCCTGGGTCTCGCCAAGGTGCTCAGGTACTGGAGCGAGGTAGGCCCAGGCAGTGACCCGGAGTCCTCACCTTGGGATGGGTCTGTGGGGTGGGTGGGGCTGCTGGGAGACACTGTGGTTTTCTTCCAGATCCTCTCCATGATGGCCCGGCGTCCCCGGAGCAGCAGGGCCTGGCATTTTGTCCTAAGCGCAGCCCGCCGGGACGCAGACACCCGGGCTGTTGCTCTGGCAGGCAGCACCCCCTGGGGTTACGATTCTGATGGACAGGTAAGTGACTTGGCTGGACTGAGGCATGGAGGTGCCCTGAGCAGGCATTACCTGGATGGGAAGAGGGCAGGACCTGCTCCGGTCAGCTGCACTCAGCCAGCTCCTCCCTTGTGCGGGCCTGCGAGTTACAGCCGTGCAGCAGGGACCTCGCTGCACTCCCCTCTGAGAGGCACAGCAGGGGACCAGTGGGCTGGTTTTGGCCAGGTCACTTGGCAGAAGGCCTTCCTGCTGTTTGCCTTGCTGTTCTCCGAGGTAGCTGTTACCTTGTCGAGCACAGTTCTGCCTGTCTCTCTCTACATGTGCCGTGCTCACACAGAAAGCCGATCCGGGAGACCCCGATCCTGCTCGGTGGCTCCCAATTCGGGAGGCAGCTGGAAGTGGAGCTTGGCTGTCTGCCTGGCTCAGGCTTCCGGGCAGACCTGTTGGCCACACAGCCAGAGCTGTGTACTCTGCAGGCCTGTGGCCCAGCGGCATGGCTTCCACGCTGATGGGGTGCAGTGAGGGGCCGGGGCCTGGGTTGTTACCTTCCTGAGGCTGTCCTTCACCAGGGTGGGACTTGGCTGCTTCTTGTGGGGCTATCGTTGGGTGGACGGGCTCTGCTCTGCCCCAGGCACCCTGCCCTCCCAGCGCCCTGTGGAACCACTAGGCCTAGAGTGTGGATGCTGCCGTGCTGCTGACGTGCCAGTGTCACAGCTGGGCCCCTCAAGCGCCATCTTATCTTCAGCTCTGTGACTGTCCCATGGGCCATTGCTGTGGGATGCAGGCATGGCTGACACATGCATGCTGCTGCCCTTTGTCACCTAATGGGCCTGCACCATGAGGTGTGAGCAGGTCTGATGAGTACCTTCGAAGCCTGAGCGACACCCGCCCCCCAGGAGAGCTGTGGTGGCAGCTGCTGGGACTGACGTAGGGAGGCCCCTCCACGCTGTGGTGTGCAGGCCTCTGGGCCTGTGTGGTCCGGGAGCAGAACCTCACCTCCCATCTGGGACAGCTCTCCTGCCCTGGGGATGGTTCCCAGGGGCCCCCGGTGTCCTGCATGGCAGGTCTCAGGACAGCTGGTCCCTCGCCTGCGCACGTGAGGGGGCCGTGCCACGGGGGTGCACGTGGCTGCTGCACGGGTCTGGGACAGTGCAGGTGAGAAGGGGCAAACAGGTCTCCCTTGAGCCCTCGTCCTGATGGGAGGAGGCAGAGATAGGACAAAGGAGCACCTCAGGGAAGCACAGTAGGTGGTAGGGAGGCAGTGGCCTGGGGTGGCATGAACCCCCACAGGCAGGGTCCTGGGTGTATACTCTAGGACCTCCCTGAGTGCATGGGGCACACGTGTGCCTCTCAAGGAGTTTGGTTTTTGTTTGTAAAGAGACTTTTTGCTATAGGATAGGTGTGCTCACTGGAGAGACAGAGATGGAAAGCGAGAAATCTCCCTCAGGGAGGAAGGCCAGGCCGTAACCCCTTCTTTCTCCTCTTGGGATTTTGGGCACGTGTGCACTGGTGCCTGGTTTGAGTTTTAAGCTGTCAGGTCCAAGACTTGAACCGTGGGAGTCTAGCAACATAACCATTATGCCATCTCAAGGAACTAAACGAGCAAACAGGACAGTCTGGAAGGGCCTTCCTGGGATCGGTGGGAGACATGACCGTGTGTGGATGGGAGGGGCTGAGGCCAGGCTGGGAGGTCTCTGGGCTTCACTTCTGAGGGCAGCAGGGCCTGCACCCAGCGCAGGAGATGGGCGGGACCTGGCCACTGTGGGGCTGCACAGACGGGGCTGAGGGGGTGGCACAGAGGCAGACTGGGTTCCCGGATGGTCCGAGGCTGACCTCCCCGGTGAGGTGTGGGCCCCTGGGACTCAGGGCAGCAGGGGTGGAAAGCCAGTGTGGACCCACGGGCTCGGTGGGGCCATGATGGGAGCGAAGGCAGCCACCCCTTCCGTGAGTGAGGGTCCTCGTTCCGGCTCAGGCTCAGGCCAGTGCTGAGAGGCCCTGCTGCTGCCTCTGGCAGGGCTGGGCATGGAGGACACAGGCAGTGGTGTGGGGACCCTACCTCGGATCTGCTAGTGGCCGGGCCTTCAGGGTTCCCTTGGTGGTGCAGAAATGGGCTTGACCCTTGAGGTGGGCCTTTGGGAAGGGCTGGGCCAGGTCCTGGACGCCAAGGACACCTAGTTGGCACCACAGACCAGGGGAGTGTGCTGTGTACCAGGGACCCCAGGCGGCCAAGTGCCCAGTCCCTCCCTTGGTGGGTCCAGGCAGGGGCTCAGCTGGGCTGTTGGGGGCGGGGGCATGGCTGGCCACAAGGTGAGGACAGCCTGCCCCCCTTTCTCCAGCACAGCGACTCGGATTCTGACCCCGAGTATGCGACCCTGCCGCCGTCCATCCCCAGCGCCGTGCCTGTGACCGGGGAGTCCTACTGCGACTGCGACGGTCAGAGCGAGGCCTCCTTCTGCGGCGGCCTGCACACCGCCCACCGTGGCCAGGACTGCCGCTGCGGGGAGGAGGACGAGTGTGAGCGCTGCGCGTGTGCAGCAGAGCTGGCGGGGCGGGGAGGGGGACGAGTGTGAGCGCTGCGCGTGTGTAGCAGAGCTGGCGGGGCGGGGAGGGGGACGAGTGTGAGCGCTGTGTGTGCAGCAGAGCTGGCGGGGCGGGGAGGGGGACGAGTGTGAGCGCTGTGTGTGTGCAGCAGAGCTGGTGGGCTGGGCGGGCTGGGCCCATCCGGCCCCCGG